TATATATATAGAAAGAGAGAGAGATTTTTCTTATTCTGTATAGATATATTCTGGTATCCATTGTTCGCTCGTGTTTAAATCTGTTTTGTATGTTGTTTACAGGTTGCCTATTATTATAATTATATAATAATTATAATAATATTAATGTCATAACTATAATTACCAGTGTTCATCATCATCGTCGTCGTCAATTAATGGTTCTCATTTACTATTTGAATATAATATGTATATCATTATTTATACGCTTGTTATTATAAACTCGACGTTGGCACTTATGTTGCATTTCGTCCCATTCGCGCCCTGAACTGCCGCCCCGCTTTCGTACCTCGTCACTATTGTCGGACGTAAGTAATTCAACTAAGATTCAAGTTCTTCACTCAATAAACTATTGTATAACATAGAAATTAATAATAACAGCTTGATGATTATGACACGAATAATAAAAATGTTTCTCTATCAGCTATTATTTGTTTAACCCGTCTTTTGCCTGTTCAAATGTACCCTTTGCCTGGAATATGTCTCTTGTTTCATTAATATTTTGAGGATCGTTTAGGATATAATAAATGAATAAGGGATCATTTGAAAAATGATATACCTCAAACAAATCATATCCTCTTGGTAGGAAGGGACATGGGCAAATTTACTACTCCCTATTTTTATATGGGCGGATGAGGGGCGCCTTATATCTATCTTTATGTTGATTTATATCAGCGCTGTTTAATTATGTATATTTATTAATAGATTTTTTTCGTTCGTATTAATAAAGGTGTCTTATATAGAATGAATTTAGCAATTTAAGTTGCGAAAGTTTTCCGGTTCAATTTGGCCCCTGTTTTTATGAGCCCATCAAAATGCTAGATCCAAAAAAAGCCCAAACCGGATAGTTGAAAACGCCCGACGTTAAGTACAACCCTTACAAAAGATAGCGTATCAACAGGCGTACACAAGGGACGGAAAATACTTGGCAACTATATTAATTCGATTATTGTAAGTTGACAAGTTTATATGCTTCCTTAAGATAGCTTTACTGATGGTGAATTAAGATACTCTAGCGCTCACTTAGATGATAACTAAATAAACCACTACACCATTATGTATACATTAAATTCTTATGTATACGATATAATCTATTACAAACAGTACGTACTTCTGCTTTCCTAGAGGAAGGGCAATATTTTGGATCTAGCTTAGTTCTATCATAGGCATTGCAACACCGGTATAATTTAAAAGAGCGTCACCGCTCAGCTTAGCTAATATTTCTTGTCGATTGCTTTTCATAGTGACCCGATAGCAATTGATCGTCTTGCTTTTGCTGATTTTTACTTACAAAGTCGAGAACGTTAAGATGATCTAATACGAGTTTTGCATGAAATTGTGTATCTTTTACAGAGTAAACAAATATGTTAAAGGCGTTAACAAAGATAGGTAAAATCGTGACTGGTACGGCGAAGATACGATGACTTTCCTTGATGGAAGTCGAAGCCTTTAAAAGTAATAAAAAATTTGAGTAGTGAAAAGTAAACTTTGCACATATATGTTACACCTATTTGGCCCCTCATCTTTGGCAAACGCCAATTACATCTTTTATCATAATCAGTAAATATTCGATTAGAGTTTTTTTTTGGTGCATATTGAAAACAGAAGAAGTGTAACTAGCAACGTCGACTTTAGTTGCACATAGATATCTGTGTATTCGTAACAAAGATGGCAAAACTGGTGTAATTTACAACGTCTCAGGTCCAAGATTTCTAGTTTCGCACTTGTTAAGTTTAAGACGAATGTACACAGTTATACCTATATATCAGACTCGCTGTGTCTAATTAAGTTGAGCAGAAGCTGCCGCAGAAGTCGATCGGCCCACACATGTAACCTTGTGCCATGAAGACTACTTGAAAAATGCGACTACAATGCAAAGAGGAACCTAGAAAAGGCCTATGGGCTCTTTTAGGACGCTATAATCTATAAGGCAGCAAATTTGACGTCCCCATTAATTGTATTCAGTGATATCTTGGAGAAGGACAAATGATCAGAATCACTCTAAGCTAGACATTTAACGTATCCGCACGATTTGAGGCACTCGTGTACGTTCAGAAGTTAAGTCCTTTTTGCGCAATACGTTCAGACCGTTCCAGGGAGCGCTTTATTTCAAATATGCTTTGATATTGTTGGCTCTAGAAATTCAACATCGTTAATAGATTAAAAGCAACAGTTTCAAATGCAAAATGCACAACGACATACGTAATTGCGTTAAACGGATATGATCAATGCGAGTCAACACAATTGTACTTCTCGAACAATAACACCACATCCCTGTGTGTACCGTGTTTAATGCTATTATGCGCAGTCACGATATCTCGGGTAATGTACTAGCCAGTATGATTTGATATACAAGTTACAGCTGCAGGTCGTATCGGACCCTGCAGTCGCAAACTGCCCGATCGATTGCTTTGCTATCTTGTCTCATTGGTTTCCTTTTATTCACTTCCGCTCTTGGAGGGGTATCCAATTTTCTATGCTAACACAAGAACTACTTGCCTAGATATATAGCCGATACTGTTTGCGAAGACGAAGGACCTTATACTTAGAAACGGAACAATTGTGGCAGTCGAAGCAACAGCGGTGTTCCTAAAGTGATTTTCTCAGTCGAAAGATAGACAGACCGTAGCTTGGTTGGCCCTTTTTTACACCAGACTCCGAGCGACATGCGTTGATTCCAAAAAGAGTGCCAGGATTGCCGCTGAGAGTCGAAATAACGGTAAGAGCGAGGAAGGTTGCTTCGGTGAGCTCGTTGTTGTTGTTGTTGTTGTTCGCGATCACTAACAGCGCGCGAACAAGCAAGCTCATGAGCTGATGGGCGCAGGCGGGCTGAAGGCAGTCAGGCCAGACAGAGTTGGTTATGAACGTGCCTTCTTCTCGTTCTCTCAACGGATGTGGTCAACCGGCGTAACCATCAGCGCAGCAACGGCGGCCTAGAACTGGCCAAGGCAGCGTGAGCACCACGGCTGATGCCACTACTAGGATCACCGCGTACTCAGGTTACTTGGGACGACCGACCCAACCCAAGTCAATAACACGTTGCTAAAACTCACACAAACAGAAAAATGAGAAGAAAAGCCCTTTTTTCCAGTTCTCGACCTATCTATTATATAATACATAGCGGTCTGTGGATTTATCTAAAAGCAAACTGCATGAGCATATGCTGCTGCTGCTGTTGCCGTTATAGCTAACACTCCCAGCAACGGTTCATGTCGAGGCAGCGAGCTATGGTCATAATGATGATGGTCAAAGACGTTCTTGTCGTTCATAATTTTCTTAGCATTATTGGCTGTTGATTGTAACTCGACGTTAAAAGCTACGTCCTGCCAACTGTTCCGATGGTCAGCTGTTATTTGTAAAGTCGCACTGCTATATTTGATTTCGCTTAGCATCAAATAGCTTCTCCTCTTGCTTTATGTAAACTATAGCTTAGATGAGGAAGCTCGATGGGAAGTATAGCGTAAAGAAGAAAATGCCAGCTGCCTAACCGACCGCCCCACCTTAATATAACCTTAAGTCAGAATATATGCTCTGCCGACCACAGCGACATGGCTATAAAACAAAGCTGCTTTACGTGTCAACTACGACCACTCCTCCCCTCCCCATTGGTAGGATGAAGAGGTAGCGCGAGAAGCAGACAAAAGCAACTGGTGACGATCGATGACCCTTGAGCCAACGAACTAGAAAAGCATTAAATTGTGCAGTAGTTATATCCCAGGCCTCGTACTACTGACTGACAAACGAACTTCGAGCTCATAATGGCTCTCTGAGAACATCGTACCCAACTAGACGCGAGGGGGCGGCGCTGGGCGAAGACTGCACGTGAGGACGAAAACGACGCTGATGATGAGCATGAGAGGATGCTGCTTTCTCCAATTATGGGACTCGAGGAGATTTGCATACGCAGATATACGTGTTAGTGACTTCCATAGACAATACGTTGCTGTGGTACTAACTGACTGAATGATGACGTTGATGATTGACTTTGTTGCGGCTGCGAAAGCGTGACTGTGATAGTGTGAACAATCCTGTTGCTGAGAGTAAAGCAGTGACTTGGTGTCCGTTGACGACGACGATGGTGGCGACTGCTACGGCGGCGACTTCTACGGCTAACTGCCCGAGCAGAAGGCGTTACCGCTGATGCTGATATCGCTGGCTGTTGCAGGCTGGGCGGACTGCACTAACTAACTAACTAACGTCCGTGTGTTCTGTACATCAGGTCTCCTGCACTGCGGGATTTTCGCCCGCTAGTCCTTGACAAGTCGGTAGACATGGTGCTGAGTACCGTGTGCTGCTGACGACACCTCGAATACGTACGCAACACAAAGCAGTGTTTCTTGGGTGTCCCGATTCGAGACGACGTGTAGAATTGTGAAGTTCTCTAGCACCGAGTTCATCATATATTTCTCAGGTAATCGCTTTAATTTTTGAATAAAGTGAACGACATATTCGCACATTTGTGACCGTTTCACGCAGAAGACAAACTGGTGCGAGTCGGTACATAGTCGAGGATATTCGGTTTCCACTTTTTCGACAACCTGCTTGCCAAACGAGCATACCTTTGTTGAACATGAAATGGTGACGTTTAGCGGGGACTCATAAACGCTCGTGACGCCATAGAAAGCGTTACGGTCGTCCGCTATGCTCGATGCAATGTTCAAGTCGGCCCAGAACTTAACGAGGAAAAACGCATCTGCCGGCCCCCGATCGAAAAGCTCCCGGAGGCCGCCCTTCTTATCGGGGAACTTATCGTAGATCTGGCGGATGTCAATCGACTCGAGGGACGAACCCGGCTCATGCGGCGACGGGCCGACGTGCACAAACAGGTGACTCTTGGCTTCGTCATCGCTCAGGTTTCCACTACTGCCGTTTGAGTTTGTATTGTTATTGTTGTTATTGTTGTTGTTATTATTATTTCCTCGACTTTCGACGAAAGCCGAAAATTCGCAAAGTTTCAACTTCGAGCTACGAATACGCGTTGAATTTAGCGGAGATAGCGGCCGCATCGTCGGTAAGCCCGGCGGTAAACCAGCAGCAGGAAGCCCGGCTTGCGTTGACTCCTGTTTGAGCAAATCTGTGGTGTCCGCGCAACTTTGGAAGGGCTTAATATCGAGTGCCGTAGGTGCTGGCCATAAGCTGGCAGGGTAACTCATTAGAGGGTATTGGGGTACACCGGCCACTCCGCCAACACCAACGGCAGCCGCGAGACCAACAGCAACCCCCGCCGATGTTGACGGCATACCGCTTCCGGGCATCTTCAGCGCTCCGCCAGTTGTTGAATCGGGGGCACTACTTCCAGCAGAACTTCCACCTTTCATCTTCGACTGAATCTCGCGCGCTTTTCGTCTGGCTAGCACTTGAATATGGCTGGAGACCTGTTTGCGGGTCCGCGCTTTGCCCGTTCGCAGCTTGATGTACCGCGCAATAAGCTCATTTCGCCCGTACATTTTGCCCTCATCGCTGAGTATAATTTTTCGCCTGCCGCAAGGTGGGTAGATAGCCAGCGCCTCCTGGAAAGCTTCCTCGATGTCGGCACTCCATACGCCCTCTGCGTCCGCTTCATCAGTGCGCGTATCACGCGAGCTTGAATCTTCTGATAGCTCGTCGTCAGGCGCCATTCCGTCGAAGTGGTGGTGGTTCTCTCGAAGAGGCTGAATCTTGATGCCGGATGGGTCCGACGATGGAAAAAGCGCGGATTGGCGAACCTTCTTAAGGTCTCTACTACGCCTACTGCCTATTTCCCGCCTGCTGAGAGCAAGCAGCTCTAAGCAATACTAGCGGCCAGTAAAGCAATTCAAAAAAAGATCGCAGTGAACAGCAGTAACAACAACTGAGCTTCGTAGTCTATCTCCACTTTCCTACCGCAGCTCGGTGAGGTGAATAATTGTAGGTCACTGGTTGGCCGTGGTGGTGCAACATCAGAATGTATGGGTTCAGATAGGATTGCACCGCGCCCTTTACCGCAGTAACAGCACACTGTTTGATAAGGCGACAGGTTTTTAGCGCTGGTCATTAGCTATTTAGCATTAATTCCTGCTACTGGTCGACTAAATTATGACCATTTAATGCCTCCACTGATAATAGATATTAATGGCGTTACAAGGCTGGCTATTTAAAAATATCATCCTTGGCTCCGTTAGAATGTCCCTGTCGTTATTATCTATTATTTATCTTTTTATTATTGTTGATTTTGCCTGCAAAATAATAATGATGATGATGATGATGACGGTGTGGTCTGGTGTAGAAGGTATGGCACTGAGGTAGTCGTTATTCCTCGATTCACGAAATACACACGTACAAATTTTCATGGCAAAGCCCTGCCAATTTGACTCGCATTTGGCAAGAAGGTGAGGATCAAAAGCTCTACTGGAAGACACAACGCGACAAGTGGGCAAACAAACAAATCACTAGAGCTGACTGCTGATGAAGATTGAGTCGTGAAGTATAGTGATGCAGATGATGCTGTTTCTTCTGTGGTGTTAGTTGCTTTGTTGAGGTAAGCGATTCTGGACACATCACACTTCACCGATTCCAAATGACAACGTTTTCGTAAATACAACTTCTGTTCGACCTGCTTGTCCGTGCTATCGAAAATCAACAATATGATTTCTTTTGTTTCTTTGCTGCGGCTGCCACTGAAACGTAGCGCACAATTTTATTCTCCGGGAGGTTAATGACAGGTCGTTACCGTAGTCATCGGTGGGGCACTGTCGAAGGGGCAAGCGACCCCCGACACAAGGCGAAGGAGGCACTTTGTACTTGTCCACTCCAATAAGGCAATCCACACGTAGAACATAGGGGGGGGGGCCGCCACCGTAGCCGGCTCCGCCGAAAATACTACGATATCACATTTTTTGGCGCATACACAACAAATACCAGCATAATAATAATAATAATTACTATTGTGTCTCGCGCTCATAAACTCGATTCGCTGACTACGAAGATAACGAGAAACGCAAACAGTTACACAGTACACAGGAACAGGCCAGACAGGCGAAACAGGCCGACAGAGAGAACAACAACAATAACAGGAGTGCAATTGTTGTCTCGGTCGAAAAGGCAAGCTCGAGCGACGGCCTATGGCACAAGACCGATAAGCGCCAACGTTCTAGGCAACTAAATTATGCCCGTTCTTATTGTACACCCTCAAAACAACTTCTTCAAGCCGGCGTCTGTTGCTGCTAGTGTTGCTGTTGATTTACATACAGAAGCAGTTTCGGAGGGGGGTATCAGCACAGCAACAGCAGGAACAACGAAGGCAGCGATCGCAACACCAAGCGTATACCCCACAGCTGCAGCGGCGGGTGGAAGAGTTTGGACGTATCCTAGTCGGCTGCCTGCCTGCCTGCCTGTCTGTTTCCTTGGCTGGATGGCGCGTGCGTATATCTAAGAACCGTTGCTGCCGCTGCTGTTAATGCCGATTGTTACCGTCACTACAGCTCTTTCTCTGTCCCTGTAGTGATTGTAGGCAGACCAGTTACTACTATTGCACGTCTACTGGATTATCCTGATTCGCCAAAGCATTTGACGGTTTGCCAGAAATACGCACAGGTACATATCCGTCAACTAGCGCTGCATCTCGACAATCATCGTATGTCAATAATCAGTATCTCCACCACTCTTTGACTAACTGAGATCGTGTACGCACGCATATACGTACGACGTACTTTTCGTCCGCTGAAGGTAACTCGACTTCGACATTTCCTGTACTAGTGCTACGAAACTCCTCTGAGGTCGTCGGTACGTCGTCGAAAGTACATCACTACAGTGAATTACGATTGTGACTTTATTTTTTCTGTGTACTTGAATTTTTCTGTGCTCCTCAAGACGATGCCGGAATATAGCACCGCAAGCACGACGACAACGACGACGATGACATCGTTTTGTTGTCGCTGCATTGGTAGTTTTCTCTACTTTGTTTTGGAAACGATGTCGTTTCGTGCCTGAGCATTAGCCGACCACTCAGTTCTAGCTGGATTCACTAACAACAGCAGTAGAACTAGTATCCGTCGTAGTCACCATAACTAGACATATTACCACTGCATTCGTTCTTTGTTGTGGGGCCGGAGAGGGGTCCGGGTTGGAACTTCACGGCACCGCACAGCACAACACACTGAAGGGAGATCCACGGGTCTTCGATTCCTTTTCTTCTTCCTCGCCGCCGCCTGTCGAGGCGCTGCTACCGCTGTCACTACCCCCACCAGCGACACCGTCGTCATGGAACAACAATCCGGAGCATACGACGTCGCTCGATCGGTCAGGCGCCTGCTACTATAGCTACTGCCACCGCCACTCGCAGCACTCCAGAAGCAACATCAATAGCACACTGCTGCTACCACTATCATCACCGCACTACAACTACCGCTGCCGCTGCAGTTACGACGACGACGACGACGGCGGCGGCGGCGGCGGCCGCCGCCGCTGCTGCTGTTACTGTCGCAGCACCAGCGCCAACAAACAGAGAGCAGAGATAGGCGGCTACTAGGCGGCAGGCAGCAGCAGCACCAGCAGCCGCACTAAGCAGACCAGTTTGTTACTCGTAGTGTAGAAGATTGAAGAAAAAGAAGACGACGACGACGAAGTGTACCCGTACCGCACACAGAAACCAAACACACGCTAACTTAGCTCGCTGGTCAGCGGTGCGGCCATGCTGGCGGCTGCTCTCTTTGGCTCACTCTTGCGCCGCTCGAGCGCTCATTCGTACACTGGATGGCTCTGAGTGACTGGCGCCGATCGGTGTCTCGGCCTCTCCGCCTGTAGTGGGCGCTCCGCCAGATCGGCGGTGCTCTACGCGGTGAGCGTCTCTATAACCCGCCCCCAGGTGCTGCTGGATGTGGATCGTAGAAGCGGTGCGCTTGGCCTGCGGCGACTGCCTCCCGGTTGCTGACACTTCCTGTTCGAGCGGGACTCACTTGTCGAACGCAACGAAGGCAAACGATGCCCTCACGTCACAGGTCTGTTCCTCAAACAGGCGGTCCCGTCGAGCGGGTTCCCTAGCCGAACAACTACTGAGCAGACAGGCCGCCATCTTAGCTTTTCTAGGAATCGCTGCTTGTTTTTGCCCGTCGCCTGAGTGTCCTGCTTGCTTACTCGCTCACTCGTCCGCTGCTGCCGCCGTGCCTCCGCCGCTGCAGCAGCGATGGCTAGTTATTGTTACGGTGGCGGCGACGGCAACGACGACGGTTGTACTGGAGGCTGTTAGAACCGCTGCGACGGCCGCTCTCTGGTTGAAGCTGTGCTGTCTCCTTCAGCAGCGACTGCTATGTTGGTTGGCTGCTTGCTTGACGTGGTCTGTATGTCACCGTTGGCGACTGCCGCAGCGTTCGCGGACGCTCTCTGTCGCTTGTCCCAACACAGAAACAAGTCAGCCAGCTCAGCTCGGGCCGGCCTGTAGGGTATAGCATCGTAGCCATAGACTTCTACATAGAGACGCGGCGGCCATACAAACTTCAAGGGACACACGGATAGTCAATACAGAGTTGAGCGCAGACAGCGAGAGAGGGGGGACAGGCAATGAGAAAGGCAAGACAGGTCAGAGCTCATGGAAAGTTGAACCGCTGTGTACGCGCACTGTGCTCCTAGCGTCAGCCACACACAGAAGTAACCCAACGGACTGACCGACAAGCGGGTGTGCGATAGATGACTGACTAAATGATTTGGCTGGTCGGGCACTTACCTAGTTCAACTGGCAGCTCTACGAACGAGGGGAGAAAACTGCGGTAGCTCGTCAATGATACCGATATCGTGATTGTCGCCTCTGGCGAATATACCAGCATACATAGACAGCGAACGAAAGAACGAACGAAGTAAACCGAAGAGGCTAACAACGACGATGACGATGACAAAGCGGCCGGTGGTTGTAGCAACGACTAGTAGAAAACGAGACGACGACGACTCGAGGGAAGCCAGTCGCTGGCCTGTATTAATATTACAGCAGCGCTTATATCAGTGCTAGCTTGCCCTACCACCGCCGGGTGGCGGCGTAGGCTGCTGTTTCTTATGTTCGCGTTGCTTCATTCGCTTCTGACACCGTGTGCAGTTGTCGTCGTCTATCATACTAACCGCCTGGTCGTTTGCTCGCTCACGAGAGCTCAATATAGCTTTCTTAGCCTTTCATTTCGTCTTAGGCTAACCAAAGCAGAAATGATAGTTGGGATGAAGAAACAAAGAGCTAGCCAAGACGGTATTACAAGCCAAGTGAAAAACTGCATAAAGAAGAACCTAGATGAAAAAAGAGCATAAAAAAAGGTCTACTCAAAAGGACAATTGTTGTATGTAATTAATTTCCTTGGGAAATGGACCAGTTACTATAAATTTTTAAAAGTGATATCTGCCTAGCGTCGTAGTACAGCCATTTCTTCCGTTGGAGAAAGCTATATTACAGCGAAAGACCGTTAAACGTATTGTACATGACCGCAATACTAGAAGAGATGACGAACAAACGACTTAAGCTTGATTCTTGCTAAGGTCACTTACCCTACTTAAAGTCAAGCTTGTATAGCAGGCAAAAGTAAACCCATTACAGATCTTATGCAACAGATGACAACTGAATAATATATATATATATATATATATATATATATATATATATATATATATATATACTAATAATTGATCCTCTTGATACGGTTTTGATTCATATAATTTAAATTGAGGTAATTGATATACTTTCGATTATAGCAAGTCCCTTGCAGTCTTAGATAACCACGTTGAGTTCTTGCTCTTCCTTCATGGTGTGCTTTACGTTCAGGTCCCATCAGAAGAGACACCCCTTACCAGGGTGCCAGCGTGGTTATTCCTTAGGGTCATTAGGGCTAATCACTGCGATTAGTTATCAGTGTGCGCCAGATCCTCGGTGTCCCTTCATGGTCATTTGAGTGAACGGAGTAAATGAATCTAATGGTCCTCTTCGCCTACTAGCTATAACCTGTTCGGGTAGCCATTGGCAGGCAATTTCTCCGCGGCTGAAGTCGCGACGCTCTGGTAATGGCTTTCCACTCCACCGAAACCATCGCCAAATATCCCACTGTCTCTTGTTCCAAACCCTTTATTTAATACTTATTATTGTTATTGATTATCATCAGAATATAAATTTACTAACTCTAAAACGGACGCGTCATTTCACGAAGTATCTTCTATGCGACGGTTCCGTGAGTTACTGTCATCGACTTACCACAGCCACGCCATCACTTTCGCTTGTGTCATGTTTACCGTTACAAGCCAGCTTCATCATTTGGCGTACTATAGGGGCCCGTCTGAGATCCACTTTATCGACACTGTATCAAATATTGCATAATGACGATGGTAATGATGCACTACGTTGAGGACTACGCATTAAAAATATTAACTCTTATTATTTTTACTTTTAGTGAGCGTTAAATTACCTTCTATAACTTGTCTTCCGTTTTATATAATTGTACGACCCATTAAGACTCTAAGCTTCGCAAAAACAGGTTCTATAAAGCAGTTTTTAAGTCTGTTGGCACCGTACTTTTTTCTAGGAATAACTTTATTTATCAATTTAAGTACGATCGAAAATATTTCCTATCTTCATTTTACTACACCCGCGTGAAATCTTCTGTGCCACCTAATGGATATTTTGTATGATTGCAGAAGCCCCGGTGCTACTTGATCGCTAAGCCGATTCGATCTCGTTAACGACGCCATGTTGTATTTTATATATTTCTGAATTTTATCAACTCTGTGGTCAAAAATTCATTTTACTGTTAATTAAATTTTTATAGTTTAAGATCTAAGTATTTTTATTTAGCTAATGACACATAAGATATAGCAAGATATTGATTAAACATCTCTTTATTATTCATAATTCAAGCACCTAAGATGGCAATAAAATTCTCATGTCTCTACAGCCATGCGTTTAAGCCCCTAGCCCTGTCGTAGTCCTTTTCTGTTCTTTTTTGCTTCCGTTTGTCATAGTCAGTCGCGTTAAAAGTGTCAAAAGCTGTTTCACGGCTCTACATCGCAGGCCGTCCTAGGCCAAGTTCTAAGCAATCTTAGCGTTGATGTTCTTAAAACTGGGAAATTTTCTCGTGCGGCGGCCGACAAGATTGTCTGCTGGTTGTATGCCGCTGCTGGCAACCGCGGGGCGGCGGTGGCGATTTCGTTACTGCCGATGTCGTGTTTATATATAGCGAGTGGATGGGTGTGATTACGTATGCGTGTGCCTGTTCTGTACGACGGCCGTCATGGTTATAGTACTACAGCAGAGCGATCAAGGCAAGGTCCGAGTTTGAGCGAATGCAACAAACCCAGACGAGGAGACGTCGTATGGACACGATTCTCTCTCTGGCAAACGTTGCCTTAGGCGCGTTCTCTAGGCCACCGGTACAAGCGAGTGGTTTAGTGAGTAGTGCTTACCCTCGGACCAGCAGCATAAAGGAGAAGAATTACCGTAATATGGGTGGCTGTAACAGCAGCAGTAGTTGAGTGAAGGCTACGACCAAAATTATAGCTGCTGTTGCCCCTATCGCTACTAACACTGTCGTTCAGCAACTTATTCCGTCTCAGTGAACGGATCAACCCTAGTTGATTTCGTGCTGTCCTCAGAGCTCGAAAGCTCAGCCGACGGCAACCAGCGCTGCCAAGCCAACGCCGCTGAGCCTCGTCGACCTTGCGCCGCCTCGAAGGCCCGAGGTTCGCATTCGAGGTGTTGTTGTGTTTGGCCTGTCTTGTTCTCTTCTTGCATATGGTCTGATGATATCATCGAGCCAGCTAGCGGCTCGCCATGATCCAAAGGCGTAGACAGCCCTCCGCTACCACAACTGCAATTACTGCCTCACATAGCCCGGCGACGAGTTTAAAGCTCAAGAGGTATCGATCTTTGCGCGTTAAATTAAATCGACCCACATTTGCGGTCCTCGTACAATCGATATGACGGCACCTATTTAAGCTATTAACATGTATTTATCAGGTCAAAGCTTGTTTAATAGGCCGAAGTACTGCGCTGGTTTGTTTAGTAACAGATGGGACGATCTTCAAGCAACTAATCTAAGAAATCGCAAAACACAAAAAGTAATAATTAGAAAAAGTGACTTCTGTCATCCGTATTGTCTGTATACCGCATATGGGACGAATTTTACCTGATTTCATCTCTAATTCTAATTATCCGATCCAGTACGGCACAACGAAAATTAGCCTGGTTACATATGTGAAAAAGTTAAAGATCGACGTCGTCGATTCGCAGAAACAGAACAGACCGGCAAGGTTGATAGTAGCTGCTCAGTTTCGGCCATAGTTAAAAGTTTCAACGATAAAAGTACTCTTCAAACTGGCTAATTACGTTAATGACATATTAATGTCTGTCGAGTTTTTTGGCCCACTTAAATTCATATGACTGTATTCGTTTCTCATATTGGTAGATAACAATTGATTTTATATATTTAATGAACCGTTGTGAAAAGCAGATTCATATGGACTATACTCGCGTTATCGCCAAATGGTTCGAACCAGGGTTGGTTGA